CAGCCTGAGCCAGAACACCAGGGGCTCTGGCTCCAGGGTTTGTGCCTGGGGCACTGACCGCACTCAGCTCTACAGGATTCCTGGGGCTTTTCTCATGCCCCCTACTCATGTCTTCCCTTAGGAATCCTGTGTCTCACTTGCATGAACCTGGTGTCAATGGGCTGGGACCCATTCAGTGTCCTGAAGCTGCTGTGGGCGGTGGCGAAGTGGGCACCTGGGCACCTGTCCGCTGGTCAGCTCCTTCCCACCATGGAGCTGGGTTTGCCAGAAGCAAGGCAATGCATTCCTCAGTCCCATTCCCTCTCTCCTCCTCCAAGTCCCTCTTGCAAGAGGACTCCAGAAGGCCAGCTTCCTGCCCCAGCTTCCCCAGAAAGCTCAGGGATGGTCACTGAGCACTCCTTGATGTGCTCATCAGTTGATCCGAGACCCACATAGGAAGTTCCAAAGGGGCAGCTTGATCACCGTTCAGTGTCAAAGGGCAAGCATTAACAATGCCCACCTCTTTCCATCTGCCCTTTTTGGAGAGAGGCCAGCCAGGGAATGTGGAAGGGATTTTATTTAATTTCATTTTTATTCATTTTCAAGTGTCCCAGGAAGTGGAATTGACTTTTCTGCTCTTGGATTAGGTGCAGCAAGATGATTTAAATCTGAAAATATTGGGGAAGTATCTTCTAGAACTCTGCCTTGATCTTGTCACCCTCCTAGTCAATAACACTTGCTCTTGCCCTCTGCCCTAGGGGACAATCCAAACCCTTTCTCCGGCATTCCAGGCCCTAGGCGGGAAGTGGGCCACCTCGCCAGTCACACCTCCTGCTGTCCCATCCCCTGCTGCCTTCTGTTTTCACCACACTGCGTTACCCTCCGTTTTCCCAGACACTCCTCTGCTTTGCCCATGTTGGGCGCTCGCTCAGAATGCCTGCCTCCCCTGTTTTCATCTCTTCAAATCGTCCTCAGTTCCGACATCACTTCTGTCAGGAAGCCTTCCCTGTTTCTCCAGGTGGGAGTTAACCGGTCCTCCCGTCCCACTCTCAGAGTGCTTGTGTGTGGCTGTCTCTTTCTCTTTCCGTTCTAACGTGCATTCTGGATAACTTGCATGTTTCCTCACCACATCCCAGTTTTTATTTCAGTTCCCAGTCACTTAAGACAAAAAAAAAAAAAATCTAGGGGACATTGAGAATTCCCCTCTGCATTACTGCATGCATCTCACCCAACAGCAATGCTGCTCATTTTCCCTGCTAAATATTTCTTGAACCCATCTCTCCTTCTCTCCAGCAGTTATCAGCTCAGTGGTTGGGCCCCTGTCACTGGTCTCAGAGGTCACTGCAACAGCCTTCCCACTGGGTTCCTTGCTGGGGTCTGCTGGGCAAAAATCCATCCTCCTCATGGGGCTGGCAGATTTGTCTCTCTCCCCATTAGTCTGGCAACTTCTCAGTAGCAATCACATCATGATTACTAGGGCCTGGTGCAAATTGAGGCTTAATAAACATGGAGTGAATGAGGGATGAATAAGTGATGTCATGGGGGAGGCACCAAATCACCTTGGTCGGGAGGACGTTACATAATCACGGGTCCTTGACTCACATAAAATTCTGTCTTGCCTCTCCAAACCCACTTTACTCATCTTAAAATGACAGTGATGCGTTTATTTCTAAGGTCCAATCCATCCAACTTCCCTGCCAATTCACTTACATTTGTCTCATAATTGAGCAAACACCTTAAATTGTAGTGATTGGGCTGGGCACTTTGCAAGAGATAACTCTTCCCTTATTAAAAAATGTTTTTCTGTTTATTTCAGCTTGCTCCCCAGGCCAGCCAAACATTCATTTTCTTTTGAAATAGACACGGGCTTTTGCCAACTGGGCAGAATGCAACCAGAAAGCTTTCTAATCTGGTGTGTGACTCTCTCCTTCAGCACCTGCTTGGGTCTCTCAGGCTCCTTGATTCAGAATCAAGTTAAAGATTGTCTGGAAAATCTGCTCTGACATAAAAATCAATAAAAGAAAAGGAAGCAGGAATGATTTCAAGCTACAAATTACACGATTCAGGAGGTGAGCACACATGGCTTCCTCCTTTAAAGATGATGGAAGGTGGGGTTTGAAGTGTTAATTCAATGAAATCACAATAATGATTGTGCCAGGAAATTTCTGCTTTGGGAAAATGTGCTCAGACAACAGATGAAGTAGCCATAAACTTCTTCCCCTCCCAAACTATTCCTAAATGAAAATATTCTCTTCTCTTGCTTCCAGAATTATATTCAGGCCGGTGAGTTCAATTAAGATAATGTGGTCAGTGCCTCATCAACAGGTCTTGGAAAACTTTGGTAAATATATACCAGGTTTCTCTTGTCTATTGGAATAAAGTAAATATAACATTAATAATAGTGGGGACTTCTCAAATGCCTCCTGCTTGTGTAGTCCCAATTTCCTTATGGAAAATCTCTACTCGAAGGCCATCAAATTCCAAGTCACAAAGTCACAATTTTCCTGGAGAACTGAACCTCATACATGGGATCCCATTTCATTCCGTGGTGCTTCTCAATGAGACAGTACCCGGGTCAGGGGTAAGAAGCACTGTGGTGAGCAGAATGGTCTGTTGGTTAGGGTAAAAGCCTTAGGAAAGTAGTTTAGGGGTGTTTGGACAAAAGGAGTTGGCTATGTGAGCTGTGTGAGCACAGCTGTGTGGAAGAGAATAACATGGCGGACCAGGGGTCAGATGGTAAGTTGTTCCTAGGAAACGCATGAGTGTGATATGTGGGGATGTCCCTCAAGAAGGTGAAATGTCGAGGTGTGTATCCTTTTGTAAGCACTAGTATTTACCTTCTGTCACCTTTGGTCGCCTTAGCCCTAGCTTCTCTCTTCCTGTGTCTTTCACCACTTTAGGAATGACTATGTCATGGTGGATATTGGGAAATCAGTATGACCCATCCAATCCCTGTCCCAGGTGGAATGTGTGGAGGGGTGGAGGACCAATTAGGTCAAATGAGTTGATTGGAGAAAGCCAGTGATTTTGGCCGGGGAGGTGGATCCATGGAGCCAGACTGTTGGGGGTGGGCGGGGAGGACGGTGTCAGGGATCTGTTTTTCAAAAGGGGGGAAATCAGAAATTGAGGTCAAGGTGGTGTCCAGGTTTGGAAAGTGCCTGAGCATCTGGCCCCTAGTGGTCAGGAGGTCAGAGTGTGCCCAGGGAATTAAGGATCCCCACAGAAACAAGTGGGGTTGCCTATCCAGAGACAACGGTGTCTGAGTGGGGTTCTCACCAGCATATCATTAAAACAATAGCAAAAGAATTAAGCCAGTGGCTCCATCTGCCACTCAACCCATCTTCCTCAACTGTCCCTGGCATCCCAGTGCCTGCTGTGCTGGAAAACTTGAGCAGAACACAGGAAGGGAGATCACGCACCAGGCACATACCTGGTTTCTCACCCCCTCTGTTTCTGAAGCTAACTAGTTTGATGTCTCCGTTTCCTCCTCGGTAACAGGAAATGACTCCATTAGCAGCCGTTAGCAGAGGGTGAGGAACTCTGCTTCCTCTGCCTCAAACTCCCCAGCTATGCCCCACCCACAATTCTAATACAATACTGATTGCTATTTATGACACACATTTATGTGTTCATGGGAGAAATTTTGGAAATGCAGATAGCACAGGGCAAAAAATGGAAAGCCACTGCAGGTAGGAAGGAAACCTGCTTTTGAAAGAGGATGGGAGGGTGCCTGGGTGGCACAGTTGGTTAAACGACTGCCTTCCTTCTCCCTCTGACCCTCCTCCCTCTCATGCTCTCTGTCTCTCATTCTCTCTCTCTCAAATAAATAAAATAAAATCTTAAAAAAAAAAAAAAAGAAAGGATGGGATAGCACCTGTTTGTGCGTCTGTCCCTGCTTCTACCTTTAACTTTTGAGTTAGCTCAGCCTCTGTCCCCTTTGGCCTGCCTCTTTCTGTGCCCCATGGAGGCTGGTGGCACAGCGGGAGGCTGAGTAATATGCTGGGGTTGGAAAAACTGGCTTTGGAATCAGACCAGCTGACGCATAATTTCAGGGTGGCCTACCTGAACCTTGACAACGGTATTTCTTTCCCTTTCTTTCTTTCTTTCTTTCTTTCTTTCTTTCTTTCTTTCTTTCTTTCTTTCTTTCTTTCTTTCTTTCTTTTTCTTTCTTTCTCTTTCTTTCTTTCCTCTTTCTTCTTTCTTTCTTTTCTTTCTTTCTTTCTTCTTCCTTTTTCTTTTTTTTAAGATTTTATTTATTTATTTGAGAGAAAGAGAGAGAGCACGTGGAGGGAGAGAGAGAAGCAGACTCCCGCTGAGCGGGGAGCCTGATGTGGGGCTCAATCCCAGAACGCTGGGATCATGACCTGAGCCAAAGGCAGATGCTTAACTGACAGCCATCTAGGCGCCCCAACCATGATGTTTCTAAGTGTCTTTTACTCATTTGTAGAATGGAGATGAGAGGACCTTCCTCGAAGCCTGGTGGGGAATTCATTGTATGCCCTGGCACACAGTAATAACCAAATAGATATTTGCTCTGCATAAGGTCCAGTTCAAGCCTTCTCTTCTTGTGGGTGGGAGATGGGGTAACTGGGTGATGGGCAGAAGGAGGGCACGTGATGTGATGAGCACTGGGTGTTATATGCAACTGATGAATCACTGAACTCTACCTCTGAAACTACTGATGTACTACTATATGTTGGGTAATTGTATTTTAAAAAAAAAGCCTTCTTTTCTTTAGGTAGCTTTTTCTAATCTGGTCCACACTGACCTTCCAATGACCTCACGGAATTGTTACATGATTTATATTTGGCTTTTTACCTAATCCTGCCTCCTTTCTCCTGGCCAGCCCAAGGGGAATGAACTCCCTCAGCTGTGGACCCTGCTTCCGTTTCTTCTGTTTTCTCCAGGGCAACCACACAAAATGCTTGCCAACAACATTTTTGGAACAATACAACATTAACATTGATTAGATGTTATGGAATTTGTCCTAGAGCTAATCAGAACTTGGTGAAATCGCCCTTCGCAGGCGATACCCTTGTGCTGGCCACGATGCGGACACTTTGGGGACACCCAGGGACTCCTGAGGTCTGGGATTTGGTGACCACTCAGATCCGCTGCCTGTACGGCTCAGGCGCCCAGGGCTCTCTCGCTCCCAGCCAGGTGATGTCTGCTTCCTTCCGACGCATGGTGAGTTTGGGAATGGCCGTCTGGGCGCTCAGGAGTGGAGATGTTGAGCTCGGAGAGGCCCGGAGGGGGAAGGGACTTCGGAGTGAAGTCTGTGTGTTTGTTTACTGTCCATCACTCCCCATGGCCGTGGGAGGGGATGACGGTGGGTGCTTTCCTCCACTATCCCCAGCCTTCCGATAATAGTGGTACACAGGCTGGGGGCATCTTTCCCCATAAGCTTTTGTCTTTGGAGCATTACCTCAAGAACACACGTCAGGGGAGAAAGTTCCATTTATTATCCTTGCCATGATAAAAATTCTGCCATTTGTACGGGGAGGGTCTCTTCTGAGACTGATGCAGGAAGACAGCACCCTCTTGCCCCTCCTGGAGCGTGGGGGGAGCAGGGAAGAAGACAGCACCCTCTTGCCCCTCCTGGAGCGTGGGGGAGCAGGGAAGAAGACAGCACCCTCTTGCCCCTCCTGGAGCGTGGGGGAGCAGGGAAGAAGACAGCACCCTCTTGCCCCTCCTGGAGCGTGGGGGGAGCAGGGAAGAAGACAGCACCCTCTTGCCCCTCCTGGAGCATGGGGGGAGCAGGGAAGAAGACAGCACCCTCTTACCCCTACTGGAGCATGGGGGGAGCAGGAAGAGGCCACGGCAGGAGCAACCACAGAGCTCCTTTGTCATGGACTCTACCAGCCATCGCTTCCATCCCGAAGTGAGGTTGGCAAGGTGAGTGGTCAGGTGTCGGGGCTGCAGGTGAGGGGAGGCTCTGCACCTGCATTCTGCAGCCCTGGTCTGTGCCCCGTGTTCACTCTGTATCCGATAAGCCTCCCATTAGCCACCTGCTTAAGGATCAAAATCTCACTGTGGACTTCCTCCATGTGGTGTGTATTTGGGTGTCTGGGCAGAAGTTGACCCCAAGCTTGTCCAAGCAGAAGGTTGCCTCCCTCTCTGATCTTGTTCTCTGACAGCTTGGTTGTGTCCCTCTCCCCCACCCCCCCAGGAGGCCAGGGTGTGCCATCTGATTGTTGGCATCTCATTCCTGCTCATGAGATGGGCTCTGTCTGCAGGGTCCATCCATCACCCCCTGTTGCTGCGTTGAACCTGGAGTTCTCCAAATGCCTGCCATGCGGCTGTCACCAAAGTATTTTCAACCCTGCTCAGTGTGTACCCAAAATCCAGGGAGGGAATCTACACAGAAACATTTGGAGGAACCGAATGCAAGTGGAATTATTAACATTTGAGGTGGGGGTGGCAATATCTTGGCTCGGGATCTGAGCTTCACAGAACCCCGGGACACGAATGGATCATTTGGTCTCTTAGAGACCCCTCCAGTTTTGTGATGTTCTAAGTTGGATTCAGAATGAGAATGGGAAGGGGCAGGCCAAGCGAGTAGAAATTTGCTCCTGTTTATTATAAGGAAATTCAGAGTTACGGGAGTAAAAGGAGTGTTCTCGGATCACAGTGGCCTGGCTCCCTCAGGCATGCCTGGGAAGGGGGATGATGAAGCCGGAAGGCTGTATAGGGCCAGGGGTTATAGGCGCAGAGGGTGGCCTGTGGGTGGGCAGACCAGAGCAGACTAACAGAGGCGGGCTCTAAGGCCCTGACACTAATTCTAGACCTGTCCTCTGGCAGGTCTGAGACCACCTACCTACATATGTACTGTTAGGGCTTGGCTCGGAAGGCTGAATTTTCCAGGGACCTTATTAGCGGTGGCTCCTGGTCACTGTATTCGCTCAAGGCTGTGGGACAGGTGCCATTCATCTTCATACAACGTTCTATTCATACTTTACAACCCTTCAGTTCTCCTAGGTGCCACTTCCAAGGTTTTAATGATCCCATTAGATAAGACAGTCGTTTCTTTCTCCCTTCACTTTTATCTGGATCACTGGGTTTCCTTGTCCATGGAGAATGGTCATGGTGTGAATCTTTGTGCCTGTTGCTGGAAGGCACTGCTTGGTGAGGGATGTGAGGGGTGGATTTTGTTCCTTCGATCTTTTGCAGGAGCTATGTTAGTGTTCCAGAGCAAAGGAAATCCTGGAGAAGTGCTCTCAAGAGGAGCTTAGGAAAAGACACCCGCGAGGATTCTGACATGTCCTGCTGAGCAAGGCGGTCTCCTCACTGAGTTACAGAGCTGCGGTGAGCCACTGTCCCTGGAGGATGAGCTAAAGAAGACAGCTGGGAAATATTGTTTAGCCACCTCTGGGGTTAGTGGGGGCTAAGGTCATCTATGCATCACTCCAGGTGCCTCGAGGATATCTTGTCACTGTGTCCACACCTCACTATGTTTTTAGAGGTTCGAGAGTGAATGGGCTCTAGCACCCAGTTGAACATGAAAGCCCAGGAGAGGATTTCTGTCAGGATATACTTTTGCTCCAAGAAGAGTAGCAAGTCTTGAACCCAGGTCACAGGTGTCTTGAGGTGTCAGTTTCTGCCTCTCAAGTTATTAAACATTTTCCACCACTTGTCTTGTACATTTCTTTGCATAATCCCTATAATATAGGGGCAGGTATAATTTTGTATATTCTCTATAAAATGTGTGAAGATACAATTAGCCTTACTTCCTATATGGGGAGACAGACTCAGAGCAGAAAAGTTACTCTTTCAAGTCACACGTTTCATCGCTGGTGGAGTGTGGGGCATGAGTTCCTATCTCCTGATTCCCAGGTACATGCTGTTTTTGTTAGACTCAAAGTATTAAAGAACCCAGACTCTTTGGAAGTAATGAGGGATTCCAGAAATAGCCTTAGCAGTGCTTAACAATTTGAAAGACCAAAGGAACTGAGGCCAAAGAAGATTGAGATAGGTGAGCTATTTCATTGTATAAATTTCCATTAACTTGGTTAATAATAATTGATGCCCCATTTGTACATTTCTATATATTAATTAAAAACACTTGAGATTTGATACAGGGTCAAAAATGACAGATTGAATTGTCTCTCAAATTGTGCTAATCCCCAAATGGGAATCCCATTGTGACCATGATTTTGTAGAATTGATTAGATGAAGAGAAATGTACTCAAGTGTCAAAGGCTACATTAGGAATGGTTGCTAATGAGCTAGACCTCTCAGAGCTGCCTGGCTGGGTGCATAGTAGGTGCTCAATGAGTGCTGATGGTTGGCTGGATTGATCAAGTTTTCGGTTAGCCTTCCATCCCACAGAGCATGGTGCTTTCATGTGTCAGCTAAAATGATATTCCAAACATATACCAGCCTATAAACTTTAAGACGTGTTTGGAAAATTTTCAAACCTACAAAAGGAAATGAGAATAGTATAATAAACTCTAAGGTACTGTTTTCCAGATTCAGTGCTTATCGATATTCTATTTTTGTTTATTGATTCCCTTTACACACACACACACACACACACACGCATGCACACGGAGGTTGGGGGGAGACAGAGAAAGAGAGAGAGAGAGAGAGTTTCTTTTTGGCTGGGATACTCTAGAAGAAATTCCAAACACCGTATCATTCACCAGTGAATACACCTGTATGTATCTCCAAGAGACAACAATTTAAAAAAATATATAACCATAATATCATCATCACAACAAAGTCACATTCATTCCTTCATATCATAGAATACCTCTTTCATGTTTAATGTTCCATGATTGTCTCAAAATGTTGTTCTTTTTGTTACATTCTTCAAATTAGATTTCACACGACATGCACACTGCATTGAGTCGATCCAGCTTTTTTGGTATTTCCTTCCATCTATGATAGTGTCCCCTCCCCTCTAATGAAAAAAGTTAGGTCAAGAGACTTAACCAGATTCAGGTGCTTTCTTTTTCATTTTTGAAAAATACTTCATAGATAAAATCGTGCACTTTCTTTAACCTACAACATTTGGAAAGAATTCTATGTTTCTTGGGTATGCATTTATTCCAGGTCCTGATCCTTGGACAAAACCGATCATGTGAGCAATGTTTGGGGTAAATGACATGGAGCCATGGTCCTTCACCACGCATCAGAAGTTGGACTCCTACAAATCACAGCCACCCAAGACACTGCCACTGGGTAATGATATAGGTTTCCGGATGCCGGACATAACTGTCACAAACTCCCTCAGGAAGGATTTTAGGGCAGAGCAAACCTCCAATTCAGGACCTATTCTCTCTTGCTTTACACAACTCTAAGAAGCTTCATTTTATTTTGGCAACTCACAGGAAGTAGGAAATAAAATTAGGAGGAACAGGTGGTCTGGAAACACAGTAAGAGATGGACGACAATTGGCATGAAGGAGGGCACGTGATATGATGAGCACTGGGTGTTATACACAACTGATGAGTCATTGAATACTGCATCTGAAACTAATGATATACTCTAGGTTGGCTAATTGAATTTACATTAAAAAAAGAGAGAGATGGATGACAACCATGTGATCCAGAAGAAAACAGAAGAAACGTGAAAAGCAAAAACAAGAACAAGAGAAGGGACAGAGTCCAGTATAAACTGATAGAGAGCCCAAGAAACTTCCTCTTCCTCTTAGAGATACATCATGCTAGCCTATTTACTTGCACTATCTAATTTATTATCACATCAACCTCAGGACAGAGGTACTGTTATATCCTTTTTTTAAAAAAGATTTATTTATTTATTTTAGAGAGAGAGAGCGCGTGTGCGCACACATGAGCGGAGGAGGGGCAGAGGGACAGAGAGACAGAAAGAATCCTAAAGTCAACTCCCCATTGGGCTCAGACCCCCAACGCAGGGCTTGATCCCGGGACCCTGAGATCATGACCTGAGTCAAAACCAAGAGTCAGACACTCAACTGACTGAGCCACCCAGGTGTGCTGGTACTATTATATTCTGTATTTTACAGATAAAAAGCAACATTAAGAAATGTTGCTAACATCACCCAGTTGGGAAGGTAATCCCCAGGAACATTGTCCCATTGTCCCAAGATCTAGTACTGGCTGTGTGCCTAGGTGTGCATGTGACCCAGGGAGAGGGATAAGCAAGACCCTGCACCTCTTGGTTAAATAGCCAAGAAAGCACACAGTGCATTTTGGAAATTTACCAACTTCCACACAAGATGGGAAAAATAAAAAGTTTGTAATCACATTAAACAGCTTCAAGTTTCTAGAAAATTTATATGCATTGAAGTACAGGTATAAATGTTTGGAACTCCAAGAAATTTTACAAACCAGAAACACAGAGATGTTACAGCAGTAGTTAAATTAATGGATTGATTTATCTTGAAGCATTATGTGGTAACTTTGCGATGATATTGTTGTTGCCTATTCTCTCCACTCAGCCTGGATTTTTTTTTCTGTAGTTTTCTAGAATATTCAGTGAGGCAGTGGACTGCCAGAGCCAGCAAGCTCTACTCAAGAATCTAATTCTCTGTCCTTTTTCCCCCATAACTGAAGATTGGATCAGCTAGGGCTGGGTTTCCCCATCACATCCTATTGATGACAGTGACTAGTAAAGAAATGATGTGTGCATTTGTCTCTTCCTGCAAAAAAAGAACCTGATGGGACCCCTTAAAGTGGATAAATTCTCCATGATGAATGTCTCCCCTAATTCTTTCTGAGGCTTAGGGATTTGGGGAAGGTAAATGCTTCATCATCAGAAATGACACTTTGGAAGTCACCCGAGGAGCATGTTACCTGTCTGAGACTCTGTCTTCTAAGCCCATCTGAGAGTCAGAAAATAGAGAATCCAAGTTAGGAGTCACCGTCAGGCACATCCAGTACAATCTGGGGCAATTTATGGAGGGACAAATAACCCTGCACAATTCATCAAGTCCTTAGGCCTTTGGTAAATAACTTTTTTTTTGAGAGAGAGAGAGGGGGAGAGAGAGCGAGCAGGTGGGCAGGGACAGAGTGAAAGAGAGAATCTTAAGTAGGCTCCACGATCCCTGAGATCACGACCTGAGCCAAAACCAAGAGTCAGATGCTTAACCGAGCCACCCAGGTGCCCCAGTAAATAACTTTTGGTGCTCATAGTCCTCACTCTGAATGACAAGCGATGTTCAATATGGAAACGGTTAAGATAAAGAAAAACTTTTGCTACTCAAAGAACTTACCTTCAGCTCTCCAGAAAACTTAGCTATCCAGCAAAGATTCGTATCCTGATCATTCCAATGAACCACAGTTTTATTCTATTGTGCTTTTGGAAGAAAGCATCTTTTGTTGTGCTGGTGGAGAGAATCTGGACCACATGAACTAGTCTCACCTGGCATGACGTTTCTTCTGTGCCTTCAACAATTTCACAGCATATTGATTCTTCATTTCAGCCTCAGACACATCAGTTAATTAGCTAATCTGGGTTTTGATTCACATGTATTAAACACCATCTTCTTTGAGCATCCAGAAACCTCCCTTATGTGAAATAAATGGCATTATGTCCAAAAGAATGGTGTGAGATTGTCTTTTACTTTGGAAGAAAAGGAGGTAATTAGTTTGATATATATTTTTTCATTGGTGAATGTTAATGCCATATTCACTGCTGAATGAAAGGTGAATGGCTGTGCCCAGTCACTGATCCTGGTTTTTGTGGCTCTGACATTATATGAAAGGAGTTTGGGGAAATGAAATGGAATAGAAGGGCCTCTGTTGAATATGTGGATAAGTAGCATTCTTAATACTTCAACAAAACCTAAAAGACTTTGCAATTCATATAGCTTTTCTGAAAGGCTGCCAAGAGGGATATTTTCAATAGATTGGTGGAATGAGGAATTAAATGTAGATTATTCTGGAAAAGATTGGAATTTAATATAACATTTGAACAGGTTAAATTTATATCAATAAAATACCAGGAAGAGAATGGGACTGTTTAATTTCCAGGACACAGAAGACACATAATGTTTCTAGAAAGGATGAACACAGTGGAGGTTGCTGCTTAAGCCTTCTGTGTTCATTTTCAAAAGCAGCCTGGGAAATTTCTGCCATTCTTTGGGATTCAAGGCACTGGCAATGCCATGGTCAGATGTGATGGATTACGCAGCCAATTTGCTTGAAGTTTGTGGTTCATTAATCCAGCTCTTTGAAATTCAAAGAACTGAAGTGATGTCATTTGGAATGTACATCACAGAAAATTAATGGGGTTCTTTGGTCAGAAGTGAGAATGCAGACAATGTGATGGGGGGGAGGTGGGGGAAGGGACTGGTGAGGAGTGGGAAACCTGGTTTCCAAAGGGAAAGCCCGCCTAGCCATTCAGTGCCCCTCCCAGCCCCACCATGTAGGCTCTGAGGGGACCCCTCTTTGTGGGGTTACCCCAGAATTCAGCAGCAGTAGAAGCAGTTAAAAGTCTTAGTCTATCTAATTCAAATCAGCAGATCTGACTTGTCCACCACCCCCACCCCCAACCCGTCTCCAATCCCCCAGGGTCGCCATTCCTTCTGGGTCTTGCTGGCAGGGCTGGCCTGGGCTGGGCTGAGACTGGTGGGAGCCCTGCCCATCAGGGTGGCATGTTGACACTGGATGCTTCCCCGATGGACCGGGCTTCGAGGCCTGAGACTGAATCACTGCCGAAGAGGCGGGCTGGGAAAGTGGGCTAAGAGGAGGTCTCTGGAAAGATCCAGTGAAATAAGTAAATGGGAAAGGAATGGCCATTTAAGGAGCTTGCACTCTGCCAAGCTGGGTGGTAGGTGCTGTCACAGTTCATTGGATCATTATAGTCGCTCTCTGTACTGTCAACAGAAATACAACCCTGGTGCAAAGTGGTTGCTTGACAAATGTTTTTTTGAATAAAAGCAAAAAAATAGGGGCACCTGGGTGGCTCAGTCGTTAAGCGTCTGCCTTCGGCTCAGGTCATGATCCCAGGGTCCTGGAATCGAGCCCCGCGTCAGGCTCCCTGCTCTGCGGGAAGCCTGCTTCTCCCTCTCCTACTCCCCCTGCTTGTGTTCCCTCTCTCGCTGTGACTCTGTCATATAAATAAATAAAATCTTAAAAAAAAAAACCACCAAAAGACAACCCCCCCCAACAAACCCTAAAACCCACAACCCCAAAAACAAAAACAAAAAACCCCAAACCTAAACTCAAACCAAAAACACCCCCAAAACTGTTCAGCTGGATAATATTACTATCCTTCCTTTTCAAAGGAGGATACAGATTCAGAGACTTACTTGGATAGCAAGAGAGTTCTGTTCTTTGTACTTCATAAACTGCAAAAATGCTCTTCAAATGTTAGCTTTCATTACTGTGTAATGGAATAAGCCCTTTTCCTTAAAGCCTTCGCTTCTGGAAGTGCCTGGAACATTGTAGCAATTCAATACCTATTTGTTGATTGAATGACTCGTTGACCATTGGGCAAGAGGGGCTGATGGTACCTTAATGGGACTCTTAGCTCACAGGAAGGGAGATGAAGATTTACACACATAGACACAATCCACTGTGCAGGGTGAGTTTCCAAAACTGTGTAAGAAAGTTGAAGTTAGTTATTTGTTAAAAGAGGCAACATGAAATTTTTCAGAATTATTTTCCCCTTGGAAATCTTAACTTTGGCTTAGACCCCTTGAAAATTCCATTAGGACTCAAAATGTACTAGTATTTTTATTGGGTAACAATATAATCTGAAAAAGTGAAAAATTTTCTGTTTGACAGTGCAGATGGTGGTTCTATTTCATATTAATATCCAAATCTAATGTGGATAGTAGTTTTTGTTGCTACATGTTTAACGTTTGAGTGCGATTTGAACTTGACAGCATGTTTTATTGCTTCCTCGACCAGTAACTACTCTTTCACTTTAAATACATTTACGATATTACACATATATTTCAAGACATAATAAAAGTAAATTTATTAAAAAAAAAAATCCCAAACAGCTTTATGCATTCTTATTTCTAGCCTTTACTTCCACTTAGAGTCTGAGAGTCTTCTAAGTAACCACTAAATGTTGGTCAATGAATTGCAGCTTTTAGAATCCAGGGAGACTGAGATTTAAAAGAGAATCTCAGGACTCTGGGATGTTCATTCTCTCCTGGTGCCATCTTTCTCCAGGTGGAGAAAACCCAAGATTTTCTCAGTCCATGTTGGTCTTCCATTTACTGACTGGAGCTGGGATAAGGTAGAATTTACCTGTAGGTAAAAAGTCTCTGTATGTTTTTCACATGTTAAAGCCAACCAGCAAACCAACCAACCCTTTATCATGGAAAATTTTGCTCAATATCAAATGTAGAGAGAATAGATTTATGGACCTCCCCCTTCACCCCAGATTTGACAATTATCATCATTTTGCTCATCTCATTTTACCTCTTTCTCCCATTTATTTATTTTGCATTATTTTAAGACAAATCTGATATCATTTCACCTGTAAATAGTTCAGTATAAATCTCCCTTAAGGACTTTTTAAAAACCACCTTGCAATTATCACACCCAAAACAATTAATAGCGGTTCCCATCTACTGTGCTGTTCATATTAAAATGTCCCCGATTGTTTTAAAGGTGTCCTTTGTTTTGTGGTTGGTTTGTTGGAATTGGGATCCAATTACTGAATGTTTTTCCTAAAGCATAGCTACCTCCCTGGGGCTCCCTCAGGTGTCTTTAGAACTAAGGTATTAAGGCAAACTTGGCCTCCATTTGTTAGTCAGGGCCGAGGGGAGGGAGAGGTAGCAAGGGAGGATTAACCTGGCCTCTTAGGCTGGATTGGGTAGGAGGACACCCACATGGACCAGCTACAATTCTAAAGGGGCAGAGAAGTCTCATTCCTAATTCTAGAAGTGGTCCATTCCAGGTCATTTTATCCTGTGGCCACAAAGACAGCAGTGGAATTCTTTGGAGCCTGGTGGGAAATATCAGTCATTCCAGGAGATTCGGTTTAAGAAGGCAGCAAAACATCAGGTCTTGTGGGTTGGGGAGGGTGATCCCAGCACCCCAGCCCATTAGTATTTGTAGGGAGTAGGATAGAAGGCAGAGAATGAAGCAGAAGGAACTGGAACAGAGACAGTGGATTTATTACACATGTTGGAGAGAAGAAAGAGTGAATATGATTGGTTCTATAGCTCTTCTAGGGTCCTAGGTATCAAGTCTGTTTGGAAAACAAGATTATTTGGCTCATATGGTAGGAGACCAACAGTGGGATCTGGCCATCAGATCCCAGTTCTGGGAATATAACTTCCTTTCAAGTCCCATTGGGTGGGAGAAGTAGGAAGTAGGTAATCCACGCATTCCCCTGAGATTGGCTTGGGACCACATGCAAGCCTGAAGGGATTGGCGTTCTGATTGACCAGCATAGGCAGAGGAGAGCACTCAGGTGGGGTTGACGTAAGGTGTTATTTGGTACAGAAATATGTATCTCAAACAGTATATTCCTAATATGAAAGACTTAGATCTTGTCTCCTCAGATTCATCGACATTCTTTGCCCATATTTCTGACCGTATAAATAATATCACTGAGTATTCAAAGAGTGAAAACCACATTTGGGTAGTATTTCATAGATTGTGACACATTTGAAAAAACAAACATTCTTCCATTATTTCTTTCATCTTCACAAAAGCTTTGTCCTTTCAAAATTGGCCGATGTTTACTGAGCTCTCACTATATGCCATAATCTGTGCCGGGTGTTTTTTTTTAAGATTTTATTATTTTTTTCATTATATGTATTTTTATTTTTAAATTTACATTCAGTACAATTCACTTTTTTTGGGGGGGGGTATACAGTACTAAGAGCCTTGACAAATGCTTAGGGTTATGTAATCGCCAACATAATCAAGATAGGGTTCTACCAGACAAACAAGCTTCTTCATGCGGCCACTTTGGAGTCACAACCCCCTTCCTTCCCTTAGGCCCTGATGAGCACTGATTTGTTCTATGTCCCTATGGTCTTTTCTTTTCCAGAATGTCAAATAAATGGAATTAAGATTTTATTTTTAAGTCATCTCTACACCCAACGTGGGGCTCGAACCCACAACCCTGAGATCAAGAGTCCTAGGCTCCACGGACTGAGCCAGCCAGGCATCCTTGTGCTGGGTGCTTTTATATCTTGTGTGGTCCTCTTCACCTATCCCTTCCTTAAGAGATTTTTTCTCTAAAATCCCTTACTTGTTGCATTGAATGGGGTTCACCTAAAGAATCAGAATAAGTATATAATTTATTTTCCACTGGGAATTGGCTTCTGCAGTTATGGGCATAGGCTGAACAGCCTCCACGTGCTATTTAGTCTAATGCTAGAGCTTGAAGCTCCCAGGCAGGTGGTCAGAAAGGAAAGATCACAAGCTGGCTGGACCCCATGTGCCTAAGCTGGAATCCCATAAAGACTAACCGAACCCCGTGTCTGTCCTTGTTGCCACTAACCTTGGGGATGAGGGTATCCTACAGGAGCCAGAGTGCTCTTCACATAGAGCCGAATACACACACACCTGGCAGTCAGAGAAATG